GACAGTAAGCATAGCTCATAGAAATCCAAAAAATTACTCTAACTAGTAAAGATTAAAACTAGGGCGACCAATGACGTGTTATTCAATAAAATATTAAGATAACAACAAAGCTTTATTAAATTTTAAAATATATAAATAATATCTTAATTGTTTAATATGTTTAATAAGCTTTGTTGAATTATAAAGTTTTACTACCTAATTTTTAAATTTTTTTTATCTCACACTACAAATTTATTTACATAATTACAGTAGTAGTTAAAACAAATTTCGTAATAAAACTTACTTGAAAATAAAAGATAAAAATTTAGTCATTAATTTTATATTAAATTTAAAAAAAGTTTACCTACTCCTAACGAAACTCATGGATTTACCAACTGCTTGGAATCTCGATGATAAATCTACTTCTTTGAGCGTAGATTCGAGCGGGCTTAGAGTTAATTATGAAGGTGGGACTTAATGATATGCAAATTGGGAGTTTTTTCAAATTTCATGCGCATGAAGTTTTTATCTGCACTATAATAATGCAGACTGGCTGGCTTGAATTATTAAAAATTTTGATCATAATCATGCGCATTTGTAAGGACCATTTGTAATGGTTAACATTATAAATAATTTACCATTTTGAAATTAATACAATTTTCTTTAAATACATAAATACATAGGTTTGGGTGCAATTAATTAAGAATTTTGTGCAATACGGGCAAATAATCCAATTCCTCCGCAATGCAAGTTGTTTTATTTTGAAGTTGACATAATAGATGAAGGAGAGAATAAGTATGTTTATTACATTTAAAATAAACTTGCTTAAATTTTACTTTTAATTTTTTATATTTTATTTAAAAGATCTATTGGAATTGGATTTTGCGAAAAGACAGTTAATTTAGAAGGAATGCCTGGTAATTAAAACTTATTATCGCTTTTTTTTCATATTGAGTATATTGATTCTTAATGCTTTTTCATAGGATGGTATAATGGTTCTTGGGGTTATCATGGAAATAATGGAAAATTCTATAATTGCTCGAAACGAGGCAATCCTTATGGGCCGTCGTTTTTGACTGGCGATATCATTGGATGTTGTTTAAATTTTAAAAATAACACTGTATTCTATACTAGAAATGGTATAGCATTAGGTAGTTATTGCAAAACTTTATAGTTTTGTCGTTTTAAACCATGTATATCATGGTAGTTTAATATTTTATAACATAAATTTTAAGGTATTGCATTCCGAAATTTAAAAGGCGTCTTGTATCCTTGTGTTGGAATGGGGTCGAAATATGGATCTATAGAAGTAAATTTTGGTAGTAGAAAATTTAAATATGCAGGTAATGCTTAATAGTTACAAATTTATGTTCTCCTTGATTTGTAATTTAATATGCAATATTTTGTAAATAGAGACTACTAGTGATGATATAGATGATGATTTATTGAAAACAAAATGGATCGAATTTTTTAATATGTGTGTTAATACAACGAATATATATACAATTGAAGATTTGGAAAATTCACTGAAAATCAAGCAAGATAATATTCTTAAATTTCGAGGAAAACTTAATTTTATCATTCAAAAATATAAAGATGCAATTATTGATCTAACAAAATTGCTTGATATTGAGCAAGACAGCAAATTTGCACTAAGATATCGAGGAAAAGCCTATTATCTACTGGGAAAATATAAAGAAGCATTCAAAGATGTGAATAAATTACTGAAAATCGAGGGAAACAATGAATGGGCATCAAAATTTATTATAAAAATTTGTGAAAGTAAATATAAAGCTATTCTTCTTTCGAGAGTATCATATTCTTTAATTAATTTTCATTCATATTCTCTAATTAACTATAAACACGTTGAATTAATAGGGAGTAAGCATAATATTATTTTTGAATGACGTTTATGCAATATAAACTAAATAAACTTTTGATCAATTTTTTTTAAATATTTGTAGGTGTGCATAACATTTATTAAAAATTGTGTTTTTGTTTAACAAACCATCCTCTAATCAACTATATATCTGTTAAATAACCAGATTGTGAGTGTAATTTTATTGTATACCTCTGCATTTGATTTAAGAATTTTTCCTAATCAGCTATAACCGTTAAATTACTAGATTATAAGCCCATGTGTTGATGAAACATATGAATTAGGATACTTTTATCTTCACGGAATTAACGTTAAAAAGGATGAATATAAAGCATTCCCTCATTTCAAAGAATCTGCTGATATGGGGAATACTGAAGGAATTAATATTCTTGGTTATTGTTATGAATATGGGATTGGGGTTGAAAAGGATGAAAACAAAGCATTCACTCATTATCAAAAATCGGCAGAAATGAATAATTCTAACGGAATGTATCAAGTTGCCTATTGTTATTA